CGGCTGATCAAAACCAATTTTTTCCTAGTACTGGCGGTGGTTGAGGGCACCCCTCAGGCGCCCCCCGACCACCGGCGCCCCTGGGCATATGCCCAGTCTGCCCGTTTATAAAAGTGGGCCTGTGTGTGTCAGTGTCTGTAAGTATGGATGTGTACAGAGCTACAGACCACACCTGTAGTCGATTTTAATGAAATTTGATACGTAATACATGGTATCTCCCAGAATTTTTTTTAATTTTGTTGAAATTTTTAATTTAGATTTTTAATGGTGATTTTTATATAAAAACTCATAGAATAACGGAAAAATTGGACATTCTCAAAAACGGGCCTGAACAATGTTGATAAGAATTTAGTATGCTGAAGTCCTTTAAATTCTGAACACCATGGTACAGATCACATTTCCGAAAAAATTATGGTTCAAAAGTTAGTGTAGCTTATGTCATTTTTTCATAAAATAGGTAACAAATACAAAAATTTGATAAAAAACCGGTTCTGATTAAAAATTAACGTGTTATGGCCCATTCTAAACAAAATAAAGCAACCCCCATTGCTGAAACAATTACGGTTCAAAAATTATTGCAACTGTTGTGATTTTCTTATAAAATATCATAGTTACTCCCACCACTTACCCAAGCTAAAGGTAGTTGACAAGCTAATGGGAGAAAATATTTGTCAGATTGCTGATACAGTTAATTTTATAACCTGTCTTCATGCACTGTCTTATAAAAATTCATATCATTTTTAAATAAACAATATCAGCAATCTGACACATACTTTCTGCCATTATCTTGTCAACAACTCTTATCATGAATAAGTGGTAGGAGTCGTTAACATAATTTTTAACGTAATTTTTTACAGCAATGGTGGTGGTACCGTTTTTAATAAGAATTAAAAGCTATATTAGTATTTAGCTCTGTACACATCCACAAACACACACACAGACATCACTTTTTTAGATTCAGGGGGACCCAAAACAGATACTTCCACTCAAAACTCAAACTTGATCATTTTTGTGAAAAGTAAAAATACAAAGTTCTGAGTAGTAGTCTATGCTGACCAACATTAACAGTAAAAAAATCATTTTGTTAAAAATTTTAGACCACATTGTGATTAAATACTTATGTAAGTTCACAGATAATCTAGAATTTATTATATTCAGTTCACAAAATTAAGATTAGCAACCAAAACATTCCTCATAATTAGAGATAGTCTTGTTTAGAAAGATATTTTAAAAGTTACATAGGAGGAAGGTCACAGTCATAAGTTCTGATAGGTTAATTGAGTATAGGCATGTGGAGTCTTTCTTTTGCAACAGAAATTACCTTATGAGTATAAATAACCGTCTTGGTTAGAAATAAATATTTCAAAAGTCATTTAAATTAAAGTTCTTTCAGGTTTAAAAAGGGGTAAGCATGTGAAGTCCACCTATTATTACCTATCAGGGTCAAGCTATTCCTCTGACTAGTTTATGTTTTTTTCTACTACCTGAAGCACTCCCAGAAGAAGAAGACTGAAGACTGCAGTCAAACGCTGGCTGGAGACTGTCATGATGAGAAATGTAATGTCAAATGTACTTGTGATCCATTTATATACCTCTCCGCTATCTGGGATTATCTTATCGTCAATAACATACTTTTAGAGCTCACTGTATTAATCCCGTGATTATATCAGTTACTTTCATAGAAACATTCAACTATTTTTGTTTGACACTTCCTCTCTTAATAAGCCTCAAGAGACTCTTATGCGTTGGTGATGGTATAAGGAAATATAACACCCGATTCCGATGGATCATATTGACACTTATTTATTTTGACAGATTTCCGCTTACTACATCACTTTAGAGTTTGTAGGTTATGTGCAATATTGTTATTTTTCGTCAAACAATTTTTGTCTCACTGGAAAATTAGTCTAACAATAATTTACCTTCGTGAGCTAACAATATAACATTTACTTTTAGAAACTGAACTACAGTAGAACCTCTTTAATCCGAATGTTCACTAATCCGAACGCCTCATTGCTGTACTCTGTACACAGTACAGTAGTTATTTATTGATATACGCACCGTAATTATTTCAATTGTAATGTACAGTACTGTTTATTCCCTATGTTTACAACTGTATTAAATAAACAATGTAGGTATTTTACTTTATAAAGCATTTTTCACTTTTCCCTAGCTATTGTTATGTAAAAACAACAATATTTTCTGTAATCCGAACTATTCAATAGTCCGAACTACCCCCAGTCCCAATTAGTTCGGATTAAAGAGGTTCTACTGTAGTTTCATAATTTTCTTCCTCCCTTTTTCTCCTATTGCTTTAGTTATACTATACCGGGTGTCCCATAATAGTCCCCCCTGGTTAATTTTTGAAAGGCTGCATATACTCAAATGAGCTTCAATACAATTTACTAGCGTAATGTATAGTACTTTTTTGTGGTACTCCCAAATAGGAGTTGCTGGGGGTAACTTACAATTTTTAAATAGCAACCTTTATCAAGTAGCACATCATATTAAAAAGCTTTTTAAAATACCAAACAGGGGTAGCTGGTGGGTTTTGGATTTTGTTTAATGCAAATACCTATTTGGGAGTAAATGATGAAATTCAAAATCATATTAAAAAGTTCGAGACATCCACATGTAGGTTATTTGAAAATGTACAGCCATGGAAAAAAATAAAAGTGATAGCTTGTAAAGAACAACAATAAGAACAATAAGGTGTATCAGCAATCAGACGTATACTTTCTCCCCTTAGTTTTCCCATCTATGAAATACTATGGGAAAGCAATATCCTTTAAACTGTGGTTTTTATAGCAATGGGTGATGTAGCATACCATTTTGTTTACAGTCATAAGGAGACCATGTCATACTAAATTTTAATTAAAATTGGTGGAGCTTGATTTTCAAAGTCCAACTTTTTTGTTACCGTATTTTATGAACTGTAATTTTTTCAGCAATGGAGGTTGTTTTGTTTTATCTAGGATTAAAAATGAGTCGTTATTTTAGGGGTTTTTTATGGAAAAATTATGGGCTATTTAAAATTAAAATTTTAAAAAAATTAAAAAAGGCTGTGGACACCATGGATAACATACCATGGATAAAGGCTGTGAACTCACAGACTAAACTTAATCAAAATCACCTATGTGGTCTGTAGCTATGTACACATCCACACGTACAGACACACATACAAACATAAAATGTTCAAATAATAATTAGTTACATATTTTAACCCAAACATGAGTGAAGGAGTGTAGAATGGAGTGAGATGATCTGTGTAGCTTTGTTACTGACTAAGATCTCTGGTTCATCAGTCAGGATCATTTATTTAAAGCCTAATGATCAGGAACAGTTGGGTCCTGTTTTGAACCATCAACAACTTTCACTAGCTTTTCTCAGTATCGAACCGGCGACCTTTTGATTGTTGAGGCAAACACTTTAACCACCCAGCTTCCCAGAATCGCTCTATTCTTCAACATTCTTCCAGTGTAAGAAATATAGGCTTCTATATCTACAATTTGTTATCTTTAATCAATGTTGCATAGGTGGAACACTATTTTATTAAAGTGTCTACAGGAGATAGGTGTGGCTGTTCCTGATACAGATGGAAGTGAAAAGATGATTGTGTATCCAATTGTAATTTCACTTTTATCTTTGTAAGATTTGGCCATGAAATGTACCTTACAAAGTGTTGACTCATTCAACTTACCACCCAATTAAATTTATCTTATCTCTTGATAAACTGAATATGTATCTTCGAAGTACACTTTTACAACAAAAGAAAACTCTTGCAAATTGCACTGCAATAACGATGATTGGCAAAGTGGTTTTTTATCTTTGTGATTACGTTTTTATCAATTGCAACAGGAAAATCAATTCATAAGATTTCAGCTTAGTTTCCTTACTGTGATAGATAAATAATAAAACTTTCTTTTCCTCCTTATATTCCGTTGGAGGGTTGTCAAATGATCCGAAAAATGTCCAAATTGTTGTTAGCTCAATAATTCTTATACAATTTGAATTTGTCTAGTTTTAATCATCTTTTTAGTACGAATTTGTACACCAATACAGTCCTGCGGTAATCATGTGACACACTATGGGTCTGAAAATCTGTATTTGCGCCCCTATTCCCTTCCTTGCGGAGGATTTTTTTCTTCCATGCGCCCCCGACCGATATTAAACCTATTACGTCCCTGGGCTGGTGAGGTCCACAAACTCCAAATTTTACCAACTCCAACAGTAAAAATTTAAATAAACAGAGCAATTCACAAACTCAAAGTTTCATGAACTCGAATAGTATTAATTTAAGTACCAGGGAACCGAGCAATGCTCGTTTTTGATTTGTTCAAGAGATTAAAAGAATAAAACCTATAAGCCTACAAATGTTTTCAGTTTTGCTACGATTAATTAAGAATTCGTTTTCAGTAATTCACTCATTCTTAATTTACCCAACAAACTTTAGTAAAACCTAGCAATCTTATATTGAAAATTTCTACAATAAACTTCAATATAAAAACTCATAATACATAACTTCTGTTGACCGTTATTGCGTTACTCTCTCGGATCGTGAAACAATGCATCAATTTCGGCGGTGCATCGTCGAAAACTACAACACGTCGTTGGCATTTACTCTAGACTTTTAGTTTAATATTAGTGTATAACGTTTTGTGGTGAAAGACTTTACGTTTTTGAACAGTCGTAATTATCCCTTTGGTAAGTAATACCTACATCATACACCCCAAATAATGTATTATATAACCAATGCTCAATCATTAATAGGAATGTCCTTTTCCTTTGAACAGTATTTTTTAATTTGCTACACAGTAGATGATTTGTTACAAGCATATGTTAATGTTATAACTCATGAATTACGTTATGAATTAATGATGCTATCGGCTTACCATCAAAAGGTTGACGTCCCAGGATATTGACTATCACCTTGAAAAAAACCAGAAAAAACCTGAAAATTTACTATGGTGAAGGAAAACAGAAATCATCAGATGTATATTTATGCCACATTTATTGGAGAGACGATACAAAAGTAGCTACTTAGGAGAGTTAATCATCAGTCCGAGTTTGATGCCGAGAGCAGTGAAGCCGCGGGTGGCAGTTACACGGAGTAAAGCGACGTTGGTAGAGGCGAGAATAACAGCGCCTTCTAGATATACAGCATAGGCAACTCTGACAGGTCCGTACGTGGAGGCTACACCTCCGGCCGCAGTGAAGTCGAGTGGAAACAGCATCATCTGGGGGGTGAAAACACAAGGAACTTTACATAAACACATTACAGAACGAGAGTAGCACACAATGAATTTCATAAGATATGTCCTCATCTGCTATATTGTAGTAATATACAATAATGATATAAATATGTAAACCTTCGGCAATTCACGTCTCGTGTCTTATTGGATAAAATATAAATAATTTGCCGTGGTCCAATAGTCTCTTGATTATCGGTTTTTTTGTTTATCCGAATTTTCCTGCTGACGACTGATTTCCAAGAAATCATATGCCACAAAGTGAGTAAATCGAGATTATCACTTTTGCCACCCCAGTCTCTGCCTAGAACATCTTTGGTGCCAAGAGCTTAAGACATCTACAGTTGACTGTACTTTACGATTGTTTTAGCAAGCTGCATACCACAACCTACATAGTTTGTCAACTCCTCCCTTACACCTTTGTATTTGTCTGTTGAGCTAAATTGTAAATAGTGTAAATATTATTTTTAGTTTATCCTTGACACAGTCTATCCAGAAATTCTGGTCAACAACATCGCAGCAGGTATTAAAGCTAACCCTCTAAACCTCAGTGCTAACAGAGACCTCAGGCAGTATTAACTGATTTTTTACAGTTACAGTAGTGGTGTTTATTTGTCAGTTTTCTTTTTATTATTTGAGTTGATGGCTTAAAAACAGAAAAAAAACTGATTTCAATGGAAAACAAACTAAAGACTTAACATTTTTGAAAACGGAACATGTGATAACAAGGATTTGTAGAAAGAGGTTCTGTGTATTTTGATTTTGATATGGCTACTGAAAGATCAACTTGAATTTTATTCTACAGGCAAAACTTGCTAGAAATTACAAATTAAACATTAGAGGAAGAGTTTGACCTTTGTCTCTGTTGAAAGAGTTCCTTTTAGACTGGGGCCTAAATATAGGAATCATGAAAACTGATATTCTGGCTAGTTATTGTTAACATCTTTTTTCACCCAAATTGCCCAACCAAATTACTTACCTCCGGAAAAGACTTTCCCCTGAGCACCCCAAACAAGACGAGACCTGTGCTGTAGTACAGGGGGATTGCCACAAAAGGGAAAAACTTTATCCATGAGGGAGGAGGAGGGGGAGTATCATCCGGAGTGAATATGTCCGCTGGCCACTCCTCGTCATCTGCGTTCCCTGGAATAAACAAGCGAATATCACAGAATTGTATCTGCAAACGTTATAGAGTTGTTTTAAATTCTCAAATAACCAAGTTAGATCTAATCCAACAAATCGTTCCAAGTCTTTCAACTGAAAATTGTCCATCAAGAATGCAAAATTTACCTTAATTTTGCGATGCTAATGTTAATAAAAAACCTGTATCATGGATTCTGTTTGAATCCAAACCGTTCTAGTGCAAGCTCAATACCGTTTTTTAAAGTAGCCGTTTCAGTTCAGTTCTTAGAATTTAAAAGATGCATTTAACAGCATTGTTTAGAGTTTACTTACGTAGCATTTTTTACTCTACAACATGAGTAACGGACCAATGAGGTTCAAGGAATGAGAGAAGTAACAATTGTAATGCTTTGAATGTCAACTAATCAGCAGTTCAGACCAATTTAATTGTTAATGAGTGGTGCAATTAATTAGTGGTTGATACAATGAGTCATTACACGGCAATTAGAGATTATAAACAAAAAAATAACCTCTCTTAGAAGTTATGAGTAGTGATAGTAAGTAATTAAAATACCGTAGGTAAAGTAGTGTACACAACTCGCGTAAATAGTCTTAACGACAACCACAGTTTTTAAGGCACTCACAAGGGCTGGTACTTTAAATTTCTACTTGTGTCGTTGACACTTTCTTTACGCAATTGTTGCGTAAACTACTATAAAGGAGCAAAGAGGCCAAAAACTAGAAATATGCTTATTACAGAACTGAAATAAAAATAGAAACACTAACGTGTGGTAAGTTTCTTCCGCCACCGCTTGAACTTGCGCTCAGTGACACGGGCTAGATGGTGAATCTTGACCCCAAGTAACAGTCCGACGTTGAGAACCAAGAGAAGATGAACTGGGATGCCCAGGCCGGCAAACAGCACAGCACTGATACGACCAGAGACTGTGCGAGGGACTGGGGCTCCAAAACCTGCAATGTCAAGCTACGGATTAGGAAGGATATTTCAAATAAACAGGCTTACTGTATTTTAGGAAGGTAAAAAGATCATAAAAATGATTACAAAGGGGTTTTCAGGTTTAGAGCTACAAAATTCAATAGTGTATTTGACTAAAATATTTATTTTTGGATACTGAATTAGACATTTAGTAAATAAGTTATACCAACTATCCGGATCAATATGGAAACGGATACAATCCGGATAATCAAACACCCAGATGATTGGAGTTTTCGAGTTTTGTAGAACAAATTTTATGACAGTGGCATTAGGCACAACCATTGCTTGCCAATCAATATGACACTACAGTAGACTCACTGCATTATGAACACAATTGGTACACATATTTTAAGTATTAATGTAATACTTAAAAAAAAATTATGGAACTAAAAAATTTAATTTTTTCCAGCCGAATACCAGGTGATTTAGACAGTTGGCGATCTGGATGAGTGGATTTCAGACAGGAGGAGATCTACTGTATATTGATGCAATTTTTCTTGTTTAGTTGTATTTAAAAACCCATTATCATGAACAAACTTTGCACAGACAACTTGAAAGAGAAGTTGTATTCTAAATTTGCTCACCCAGTGTGGTAAGTAACGAGGTAGCAAACAACAGACAACCACTGTATGTCCAGATGGTTCCTCTCTGTGGATATCCTGACGCTACAGCTGACAATATGAGAGACTCGTGGTGTGTGGCGTAGTGTTCTATAGTGGTGCGCCACACTGGCTCTTCTGGCACTACCTGTCAAACATGGCACTTGAGTAAGGAGGTAACAAACAACAGACAACCGCTGTATGTCCAGATGGTTCCTCTCTGTGGATATCCTGACGCTACAGCTGACAATATGAGAGACTCGTGGTGTGTGGCGTAGTGTTCTATAGTGGTGCGCCACACTGGCTCTTCTGGCACTACCTGTCAAACATGGCACTTGAGTAAGGAGGTAACAAACAACAGACAACCGCTGTATGTCCAGATGGTTCCTCTCTGTGGATATCCTGACGCTACAGCTGACAATATGAGAGACTCGTGGTGTGTGGCGTAGTGTTCTATAGTGGTGCGCCACACTGGCTCTTCTGGCACTACCTGTCAAACATGGCACTTGAGTAAGGAGGTAACAAACAACAGACAACCGCTGTATGTCCAGATGGTTCCTCTCTGTGGATATCCTGACGCTACAGCTGACAATATGAGAGACTCGTGGTGTGTGGCGTAGTGTTCTATAGTGGTGCGCCACACTGGCTCTTCTGGCACTACCTGTCAAACATGGCACTTGAGTAAGGAGGTAACAAACAACAGACAACCGCTGTATGTCCAGATGGTTCCTCTCTGTGGATATCCTGACGCTACAGCTGACAATATGAGAGACTCGTGGTGTGTGGCGTAGTGTTCTATAGTGGTGCGCCACACTGGCTCTTCTGGCACTACCTGTCAAATATGGCACTTGAGTAAGGAGGTGATGAACAACGAATATACAGGCCTTTGTCAGTAAAAAACTTGCTGGAGGAATAATAATGCTGTACTCAGCCGGCACACATACTTATTCTTAAATATATCATGGTACACCTGAGTCTGGTGTAAAGGATCAAGGAGGGCACAATAATTGAGCAAAGAGGATCACAGTATCTCTCAAACAGTTAATTTTTTAACATCTTCATCTGTACAATTTATCCGTTCAAACAGTAGGTGTATCTCTTGTTGTGTCAACATAAAATGTTTTTGGAAAGTTTACAAAAATTATGTTGGAAAGACCAATTTGTCTGAGGGAGAACTAACCGATTTTATAAACGAAAACGGAAGCTAGAAGCTGAAAAATTGTCCACATGAAGCTTAGTTCAATATCTTTTGAAGAACTAAAATATTCAGACACTTTAATATTTTAGCACAGATATTGTTTTAACTTTGCTTTGTAATGTTTTTTGCAGAGCCTCTTGTTGTATCAAATCTTAAGAGCGAAATATACCAATTAATCTCAAGTAGGAAATTGGTCCCATTAAATGCACCACTTCATTAATCTTGACAAGGCTAAATGGACTACTTAATGTCTTCAAATCAAGTGTTTACCTGCCGAAGGTCTGTTGCTAAGCCAACCACTAGCTCTGTCTGACGGCGGTTCATCTCTTGCACCTAAAAACCAAAATATACTTCGCTATAAATATAATAATGTATAATTTTTTTATCTGTTTTGAAATTTACAAAAGAAAAGTGGATTCATAGTTTGCAAGTATTAGCCAGGCAGCTATGTGGGAGCTGTACAATCGGGTACAATTAAAGTGTTATAAGGATGTCATTTTTCTTTTACCAATTACAGTTCCTGACTTGTAATTTTTGTGGGATTTCCTTCAATAAATAGTGTTATGATAATTTTTTGTTGGGTATCACTCACCTTATTGAAATCACGAGAACGCAGTCCTTGTCATGTCACAATCATACACAGTTCATTGCACATAAAAATATACAAAAATTAAAATAAAATTAAAACAAAATTTAAAATATCAGACAAAAGTTCTCAACACCGACGTTTCGCCGCACCAAAATCAACGTGCGGCGTTTTCAAAGTTATTTCTCTTCTCACACAATAGTTGTGAGCGCCTAACCACGACTGACCCGTCGTGATATGTCAGTCGTGGTTAGGCGCTCTCAACGATTGCGTGAGAAGAGAAATAACTTTGAAAACGCCGCACGTTGATTTTGGTGCGGCGAAACGTCGGTGTTGAGAACTATTGTCTGATAATTTAAATTTAGTTTTAATTTTATTTTTATTTTTGTATATTTTTATGTGCAATGAACTGTGTATGATTGCGACATGACAAGGACTGCGTTCTCGTGATTTCAATAAGGTGAGTGATGCCCAACAAAAAATTATCATACTGAAGTATTGACCTCACCTAATATACCATGTCGTTTAGGAATAAATAGTGTTATGGTTATTAAAACACTGAACAGTGCTTGTATGATGTGTCAGCGACACATAGCAAGCAATAAACCACTTGAAGATTGTGATTGACTGTTGGTGATTGTGTTGTAGTGATTAAGCGTGAACAATCAACTGATGCTATTGGACAAAATAATGGTGGCAGGTAGAAAGAGGGACGGGAGTCGTAGGTGACCGTCCAATGGCAGAGCGGCATAGCCGAAATAGATGATGAAGGGGGAGTAGGGGGGAAGAAGGTTATGATCTTGACTGGATTAGTTAGACCATATTAAACATCGTATGGTGTTTTAATGCTCAGTGCATTCATCTTGTTGGCAACGATACAGAAAAAATTTTTTATCCTAGTATCACTTTATGGTAAATTAACACTTTAGTGCAACATAGCATTTTAACACCACTGGTTGTTGGTCATGTTATTATCTTATTCTTTAAAGTCTGTGCATATCTTGGTATTTTGATAATTTGAGGCACACAGTCTACATTACCTCTGCCTTGGTTAACCCTAGAAACGTATCGTCATACAATACGCAAGCTAAGGGTATCAATACGTAAATTTGATGTACTCCTGGCCATTTTACTCTACACAAAGGGTATTGACACTTAAGTTTGACGAATGCGTTCCAAGAAACCAACTAGCAAGGACACAAAGAAACACACTACAACCCAAAAATAACTCACCATACGTCAAATTTACGTGGGATACCCATCTAGGGTTAATCAAGGGACAACTCTAGCTTAAAAAATTGATCTTTTTCAATTTGGATTGCTTAAAAAGTTGGTGTATACCATCAAGAATCATTAATATTGACATCATCACACTGTATTAGGGACTGAATCAACTGAGTTAATTTTTACCTAAAACTGGCTACAAACTTAACATTGGAATACAATTCCTACTTCAGTGTTAAATACATGGGTTGCAATAGGAATTTGGAATGATAAACCATATCTGTGAAAATTGCAAAGACGGAAACTTTAACACCTACAAAACACAGCTGTTACCTGTGAGTATTCTCTGGGTGCTTCTGTCAGACGGAACACCAAAGCTCCGATGAACGCCCAGGTCAGTATGATACACGTCAGACCACATTGACACAGCACTAACCTCACCAACTTCAGTAGAGTGGTCTCCGACTCCTGTACAGACAACACTATAATTCAAACAGGTCACTTACTGTTAAGTTAAATCTTATCTTTACTTTTTCATCAATTCACAATTTTACGTAGTAGGTTAGGATCGGATTTGCCTGGTATGTTTTGTATGAATTTAAATTAGATAAACAGTTTCTTATGACTAGCTACTTTGAATATTTAACAAGCAAAATTTTAAAACCAAGAAGTTGTAGTGAAGTGAAAATATTTAATAAATCTCAAGACGAACACATTCAAGTGTTCAGCTTGAAACTGGAAACCCTCAGTTAAATAATTCACGTTTTGTGAGTAAATATTCACCAAAGTTCGCAGAGGCTTCGTAAACATTTAGTGGAAAATTCCTTTTACCGTAAAGAGACTTTAGTATACGGGGTTTTAGCTTATTCATTGTAATCAAACTTTAAACTTGATGCCCCATATTGTTCTCAAAAAACAAATGTAATGTTTAAGTTCCAAACCACACAAAAATTATCTGCCTGATCAATAATTGATATGAAATCAATTACAAACTACCAAAACAGAACAAAGTCTATTGCAGTTTTGTACATGTACACCATCTTGACTTTATCTTGACTGAGAAAACCTCACAAATTTTGAAAGCCCTTAAGGTAAGGTAGTTTTTGTTGTAATTTTACTAATCATCTTTGATTTACCCAAGTATATGCACATACAATCGACAAACTGAATCCATCATTTACTCAACCAAAGAGTAAATATAATTAATTGCTTTAATTTCCTATTAAATTACAAAAAAAAAAAAAAAAAAAAACTATACATTTCATGAGTTATATTTATAAATTGACAATTTTTGATTGCAGGTCTTACATAATATATTTCTAAGGGTCTGTCTCTTCAGAGGTGCAAGCAGTATTCCTTTATAGGATTCTCCTTTTAGTCAATCTTTGAGGTTAAAAAAGTTAATTCTTAAATTATGATTTCTTAGCTGGCTCTTCAGGGGTGTAAGTGTTTCTTTATAGGATTCTTCTCTTAGTCACTCTTTGAGGTTTAAAAAGTTAGTTCTTAAATGATGATTTCTTTGTTGTTTCTTCAAAGATACAAGTATTCCTTGAGAGGATTCTCTTTTAAGTCGCTTTTTGAGTTTTAAAAGGTTAGTTCTTAAATTGTGGTTTCTTAGCTGGCTCTTCAGAGGTGCAAGTATTCCTTTATAGAATTCTCCTTATAGACACTCTATGAGGTTTAAAAAGTTAGTCCTTAAATGATGATTTCTTAGCTGTGTCTTTAGAGGCACAATTTTTCACTAGAGCATTCTCACTTTTTGTCACTCTTTGAGACAGAAAACTTCAAGTTGTTCTTCAAAAATCTTCAAATTGTCGATTCTTCTTTGACTATTGAAGCTATTCAAGTTGCGATATTCTTGTTCTTTTCTATCAAGCTGTTTTGAAAAGACACTTACCCAATACGATGTCTTTTCCAACGAATCAAAATCAGGTAGGTTAATTCAGGGGAAAAGTGAAGCACAACTTCAACGGGAAGAAGAAGGTCCCAACTAGAGAGCCATAATGGCAAAGAAATGCAAATGTCTTAATTAATCTGTACATTAAGTCCATGATTAATACAAATTTAAGTAAGACTTAATCACCATGGTTTTTTTTTTATTGTTATAATAGTTACAGATATTATACTAGCCTACTACAAGAGA